CTAATTCTAACTATATTAAGTTTTTCTATTAATTTAGTTCACTAATTTCTAATATTTCTTTTTATTTAGATAGATTATACTGTCTTCGGAATTATAAATAATATTAGAGTGGATTAACCTGACCGTTATATCTTAACCTTAACCTGGTTATAACCTGGCGGTTAGATTAAAATACAAAAAAATTTTAACTATATAATTATAGTTAGATTAAAATATAATTATTATTTTAACTATTTATATCTGCCGGTTAAAAAAATTAGATATAGCAGATAGATTAATAACCGCAGATTAATTAATAATATATATATTCTTTTTATATAAATAATATATAAAATATAATATACTTTTAATTATAGTATAGTAATATTTTCTAGATTTAGCTTATCTACTTAATATTATAATATAATTCTAATCCTTTCGACTTATTTACTTAATCTATTTAATTTATTTAACTTATTTAATCTATTTAATTTATTTAATTTATTTAATTTATTCAACCTTTTTTTCTATAAAGCTGTAAAGGGAAAAGGTCAGTTAGGTATAAAATAATAGCAGTCTATTAATTTCAAAACTAATTCTTACTATTCTAAAGGTTTAGCAAGATCCTAGAAGTTAAATACTAAAGAAGATCTAAGTTATTAATATTATAACTATTACATGGAGAATATATAAATAGATTGTTAATAATCTGCTATAGCTATAAGAATTATCTATAATAATTAGACTTTCTCTTATATACAGCTGTTTTTAGTAGTATAATAATAGTATAATACTACCGCTTTAGCACGGGAGCTAACTGTTTTTAAAAGTATAGTAGTAGATAGTAGAAAATTATAAACTAGTTTTATTTAGAATATATATTATAAATAATACTATTCCGCTTTAAAAATACTATAGTTTTTTAATAATAATATTAATAATATAAATATACTTTTATATATTTTTTTAATATTCTCGACATCATCAGCATTATTTGTTTTATATTAAAAAGTTTATATTTTTCTACTATTTCTATATTTATTCGTTTGTTCCAATATATATATATAGTATTTATATTTTATATTTTTTTTAGTATTACCAAAATACTAATAAATAGTTGTAATATTTATATTATAATATTATACCTCCCGCAGTAAATTATTATTTTTTAATTAAAACTTTATTCTTTTTCAGTATTTTCTTTTATTTAAAATATTTTTAAACTAGTATAAAAAACTATAAATATAATTCTAATAAAAAGTTTAAGCCCGGGTATATTTTTAATATAGTTTTATTAGTAAAATATTAATAGTACGCTAGTTAAAAAACAAATTATACTTTAATAAGTTTTTCTTTTTTTTTTTTTAAACTTCGACTTTAGCTAAACATGTACCAGACGGCGTCGGGAATATTAAATAATACTAGTAATCTATTACTAATTCTCTACTAGTTAAATTTCTTTTGGGCGGTAAAAATAAAAAAAAAATATAATCTTATTTTTTATATTTTTTTTAGATTCTTAGCCGCTAATCTTACTGCTTAGTTTTTTAATACGGAAAAAACCCACCGCGTCGAATATAATATAACAGCTGCTACTAAAAAAGCTATAATTATAAATAATATTAACTATTTATAAGAATTATATTAACTTTCCGATAGAAAAATCTGACTATTTATTATAGTTTTATTATAGAATATTATATTCTTACCGCCCAGACCGGAGACTTATAATAGTATTTTTATCTTTTATCTAATAATACTAGCTATTTATTTTAATACTATATAATAGTCTTTTATCTAAACAATATGATCCGCGAGATTACATATTTTTATACTAATAAAAATAGTAATAAAGACTGGTATATTACTGATACTAAAAATATTTTTTCTATTAATATTATCCGCGGTTTATAGTTTTATTAATATTTTATATTTATTTCTTATACGGTAATACCCCCTACCAGCAATTTTTATTTAATTATCTTTTAGTTTTAATATCCGGATTTTTTTTAATATTATTCTTTCTGTAGTTTATACGCGTAAATATAAATAAAATAAATATATAATATAACAAACTTGTATTTTTTTATTATAGATTATATACGCGTTGCGTACGCCTTATAGTTATTTTATTATTATTTCTGCTATATATTAATCTCGACTTATATATTACGGGATAAAAAGCTATAATCCGATTATTAAATTTATAGATTTTTTGTTAAATATTTACTAAATTTTCTACCGGTAACTATTAATTATATTTAAAAAACTATTTCTACTATTTTATTAGATAGAATTAGTTTTTCTAATAATATAAGCTATTTAATATCTGCTTTATCTTCTACTTCTTATTATTATCTAGATCTGGTATTAGTAAAGTTTCAGAAATATTTTTTTTAATTTTTTAAGATTCCAGTAGAATAATATAAAAAATATTATACAACCAAGTATATTTATTAGAAAAATATAGATAAAATACTTATTTTTCTACAGCTTCTAGAATTCTAAAGAGCTCTATAAATTTTAGAACTAATTTTTAAAAAGTTTTTTTAAATTTAATATTTATAGTAAATAGCTTGACTAAATCTTCTTATTTAAAAATATAAATCATCTTATTATCTCGCTTAAAAGATAGAATATTATAACAACTATTATAATAAATTAATTAGTTTTCGCTTATTTTTTACTAGTTTTTTTTTAGTTTTTTTTATAAAATATTTAGCTTTTTTAGTTTTTTTAATATTAATAGTATTCTTACTTTTATAGAGTCGTTCTTAATCTAAAGTCTAAACTTAGAAAAATAATCTATTAAAACTTTAAAAAGAATTATTTTTATAAAAGTATTCGGATAATTATTATATACAAATTCTGTTTTATTTAATAAATTTATTTAGTTGTTTTAATACTCGGTTATAAAACAGTATAGATAATATTTAAAGATTTAATTAGTTTTTTTTATTTAGCCGTCGGTTTACAGATAAAACATAATTAATAATTATTTTTTAATTTTAGTTTAGTAGTAAAAATTAAACTAAAATTAACTTATAAATATAGAGCCTCTGTCTATAATTATATTATAAAAAATTTTATATTTTAATTTAATTTCTTAATAAAACAGTTCGGCCAGTTCTTCTGCTCGAATTATATATAATACTATTATAAAATAGTTTATTTTTATAAAATAATTAATAATTACTAATATTAAATCTATTTAATAACCCTAGTAGTATAGTTCGGATAGTTTTATAATAAAATCTATAATAATTTCGGCTTATAGTTTTAATAAAATTAGTAGACTTTTAAATTTTTTATATAGTTAATATCTAGCTGGGGTTTAATATTAGCAGATAGAATATATTACTATATAATTTTCTATATTATTTTAGAGGCTAATCTAATAAAACTTTTTATAAAAAAGTTGTTTAATTTTATTTTATCTAAAATAATCTACTAATAGATTATTATAATATTATTATAGTAGCTTTTAACGTAGGCCTTTTATCTCTAATATATAAAATCTATTTTTAAAATATAATAATCTATCTGTTATAATTCTCTAATATTTAGATAGTTTATTTTTCTTTTTTTAGAATTTAGAATCTTAATTCTAAAGAGTTTTAATCAAATTTCTTAGATTATTATTATAAACAGATTTATAAACCTTTTCGACTTTATTTATACTTTTTATAGCTATAATACTAGCAGATTATTTATAATTTATTATATAAACTATAGTTTAGTTAGCTAATTTTATACCAGCAGCGCCTGTAAGCCTGCTTAATATTATATAAATACTAAATCTAGATTTTTTTTATAAAAACATCTTGCTATATTTAAACTAGGATTTTCTAATTTTAGTTATTACTAAGATCTTAGATATTATTAAAATAAATATTAACCGGTTACAAAATATCCGTATAATATTATTATTATAAAAGCTTTTTATTAGCTTGAATAATCTAAATAAAATATTAGCAGAATTACTCTTATCTAATTAGTATTTAATTATAAAATTAAAAAAAGCTAAAATTATATATTAATATACTTAATATCTATTAAGCCGGAATTAATTTATAAATAATTTAAGATTTATATAATTAGATAAAACTTTAATAGAATACTAAGCCCTATTAAGATATTGATACTAATATTTAAAAAAGTAAACAATAATAAAAAATTCTTAATTTAAAATACTTTAATTAAGTTTTATATCCGAGAATTTTCTTAACTAAATAGTAACTATATAGTATTATTTTATTAGTCCCGGTTAGATTAAAATACCTACTATTTCTTTATTACAAATATTGGTTTTGATTCAAATAAGTTAAATTAAATTAAAAAAATAAAAAAAAAGCAGTCTAAAATATATTAATAAGTCGATAAAATATCAGTCTTTTATCTAAAACTAAAAAATATATTTCTGGTTTCTTACTATTTTAACTTTTTTTCAGAAGATTTATCAAAGATAGTACTAATAAAAAAAAATTATAAATAAATCTATAATAAAAGTTGCAAAATTTTAAAAAGATCTAAATATTATAGTAAATAGCAGATAACAGCCATAAAATAATAATTTTAACTCGGTCAGAATCTATTATAATATCTATAAAAAAAATAATATATTTAAAAAATTTAACTTATTACTAAAAAAAAAAATATTTAGATAGTTTAATATATAAATTAGCTTCTTATAGTTATACTAGTACTTTTTTAATATATTTAATATATTTATATCTTATTATTAAAAAGATAAAAATATCGTCTAAATATATAATATAAATAATATTAAGAATATTATATAATACAAAGTATATATAGTTTTAAAAAAAAGTAAATATATTAGTTAAGCCAAACAATATTATTATATACTTAAAATAACTATAATATATATAAAATACAGTCTTCTATTTATCTTCTTTTTTAATATAAATATAATAATAGATGTTTTAGATATTAATTTTACTAAAGTATTTACATCCAGCTAATTAATTAAAAATTTTAAAAATTAAAAATAATAGATATTAATTTTTTACTGTAACTTTATTAAATTTATAATAATCTATATATAGCCGCAAACTTCTATTTTTTTTAGATATAAAAAGAATAGAAACCCCTGCAGAACTTTTAAATAAATATATTCTTTTATTAATAGTATTTTTATTAATATAATCTTTAAGTACTAAAAGTTCTCTTTCCGAAAAAAGATAAATAGACTTAAATAAAAGTAATTCGCCTTCGAAAAAATCAATAGTATGATTCTTATTATAATATTTAGAAAGAATTTTAGATTAATTAAAAAAAAAGATATCGGTAAATTCGACCAGTTCTAACAGAATAAAATTATTTTAATAGTATTCTAATTTCTTATTATTATCTAAAAGCCACAGTTTCTTTAAAACTTTAATAATTATATAAATATAAGTACAATTTCGGCAAGCCTTAGTAAATTTTTAAAAACTTAATTCCTAGATTTAATTAAATTTAAACTACCATTACTTGTTTCAGAAAAATAAATAAATTTTATAATCAAGCAGAATAGTTATAAAAAATAAGATTAGAATATTTTAAATAATAGTAATATATAGTTTAATAAAACACTGTCGTACTTCTCTTAAATTAATAATATCTAAAAAAATATTTTATATTTTATAACTGGTAACAGAGGTATAGTTAATAACTTTAAACTATAATAAGAATTTCTAAGATTTTAAAAAAAAGTATTATTATATAAATCTAATATTAACTAAATTATATACTATACAACTATTAATATCTGCATAAATTTTCCTAATATTAGATATTTATATTAGTATTAATATTTTATCAGCTGTTTCTACTTTATAATACAGAACTAAAACAAAAAAGTTAGTCTTAACCTATTCTATTTTTTTATATTATTTTTTTTAGCTTATAGTTTTTAAATTCAAGCTAATCTCTTTTTTTTTTAAAAATATTAATTAGCGAGATGCTCAGTACTATTATATAAGAAATATTATAAAACTTTTCTAATTAAATTAGAATAATTAGTTTTAGAATTAAAAGATTAAGTATTCTTATAGAATTGTAATTATTTTTATAATATATTAAATCTATTAGATTTCTATTTACATTTTTATTTCTATATATATAGATTCTAATAATAAATAATAAAAAATATTATCTTATCTTATTTCTTAGGCAGTTGGTATATATATTCTTTAATATAGCAACTAAAATCAAAAAATAATTTTATAAAAAAAATATAATTATATTTCTTTTTAGTAGTTCTAGAAAAATATTATTCTAAAATATTAAAATAAATATAAAATTTATAAAAATCTTAATTATTTTACTGCCGAGCTTACTCTAGCTGGCTTATTATATTAGACTTAAAAATAATAATATTTTAAATAAAAAAAAATATTTATTTAATAAAAACAGACTATAAATAGCTAATATTTTTCTTTTATTCTAGTAGTAATTTTTTAAAATAATAGTATTATTTTTGCTAATAAGTCGTACTTATATAGCTTACAGCCTTAAAAATCTTATAGTAGTTATTATAAAATTTAAATAATACTTTCTAAAAATTATAATCTAAATTATAGAACTATTCCTGGTGTTTTTAAATATTAAAAAAAAATTCGAATTACGGAATATCTTTAATTTTAATATTTATTTTAGATTTATTTAAAAAAAAGAAAGTTTTCTATTGCCGAATTAATACTAATTTAATATTATTATATTAGATTTTCTATTATAGTTCAGTAACTTATTTTTTTAACCGCTAATAATCTTATAATTAATTAATAATATTTCTAACTGCAGTAAAATCCTCTACCAAAAAATCTAATAGCAAAAATAATAAACTATTAATAATAGAAAAAGTTTCCGACTCGGAACTATTATTAGAATATAAAAATTATAATAACATACTATATTCTATAAATAACTAAAAAAAAAAAATTAGAATTATAAAAAAAAAAATTAGTTAGATATAAAATAGTAGCAGTCTATTAATTTTAAAACTAATTCTTACTATTCTAAAGATTTAGCAAAGTCCTAGAAGTTAAATACTAAAAAAAATCTAAGTTATTAACATTATAACTGTTGCACGAAGAATACATAGATAGATTGTTAATAATCCGCCATAGCTACGGGGGTTATCTATGACAAAAGCTGAGAAGTATACTATACTTTAAAAAAGATTTTTATAAAATCTAATATAGAAAAAATAGTATCTAATATTAAATAAACTAATAAAATTATACTATTTTTTATACTATTTAGAACGGTAATTATAATAGCAGAAAAATTAAAAAAACCGAGTTTTTATTTTTATCTGAATATATATAATATTTAAAAACTTGAATAAAACTAGCTTTTTTATTTTTAATAATAATTTATTTTTTAAATTATTTTTAAGATTATCTATATTCTTATTTTTACTAATATAAAAGATAGTAATTATTTTATTCATTTTTTACTTTTTAAATATAAAAATAATTAAATTCGGATTAAGATTATTAAAAATATTCTAATACTTTTTATTAATAGTAAAATAATTAGTATATATTTAAAATATTATTATTTTAATTATATTAGTATAAAGACAGCTCTGATAATAGTAATAAATATTTTAAAAATTATTAAATAAATATTTAATATTAATACTATTAGTAATAATTAAAAGAAAATCTTTAGCTATCTAATAAAAAATAAAAAACTAATTATAGCAGGACTTTTAATAAGTAAGAATATTAGTATATTTTATAATATTTAGAATAATATTAATTTAATTAAAGATATTTTTATAAGTTATATATTTTTAATATCTAGATATATTTTAAGTTTTTTAATTATCTCAGCTGTTAATAAAAATTTTTAATATTTAAAAATATTATAAAAAACTTTATTTAGATCTAATAATAACCCGGAGATAGTTAATAGTATATTAATAATTAAATTTTAACTATAATAAAAATAGAATATTTTTTAAAAAACAGTTTAGTATTTATAATACTAGTTAATATTATTATCTAGCTAGATATTCTTTTTAAACTTTTTAAGCTTTAATATCAGGTTTAAAATAATTATAATTATATAAATATAGTCTTCTATCTAGTAAATATAATAATAGTATTTTCGGAGTTTTTAATATATATTCTGTAAATTTTTAAGAATTTTTTTTTTTAGAATATCTACTTTTTTATCAGTCGGTTAATTAAGTAATTTAAATAATTAAAAAAATTATTATAAATATTATAAATCTTATAAATAGTAGGCCTACTGTTCTTGGATAAATAGAATATATAAAAAAAACAAAGTATAAAAGTTTAAAAAAATATTTTATTTATTTTTATTTAGTTATAGTAGAATAAAAATAATTAATATTATTATAATTGCAGTACTGAATAAAACTTTTAATTATTTAATAAAAATTAAATATCTAGTAAATTATAAGATAGATTAAGTTCCAGCAAGTTTTATAATTAAAAAAAAAATAATAAACTAAGTCTAATTTAAATTATTAAGTAAGCTGGAATTTTTTATAATATTAAAAGCTTATATTTATAAATTATATAATCTTTTAAATCTATAATTAAGAATTAGTAAAATCAATTATTATTAAAAAAAGATCTTTAGAGTCTGTTTATAAAAGACTAATCTAAACAGTTTTTATTATAAATAGTAGAAGTTTTTTATATTAGTTTTTTATAAATAACTTTTAGAATATATTTTTTTAAGAGTTCTTAAAATACCAGAAAAGATTTTAAGATTTTTATTATAAATTTTTTATATATATTTAATAATACTATTTGAGGCTTTAATCCGAAGTTTTTATAAAAAAATATTAATTATAAGCTGAATTAGAGTGGCTAACGGCCAGGTCAGGTTAGGTTAATTGGAATTTTTATACCTGACCGCCAGGTTATAACCAGATTAAGAAAATTTTTATATCTGACTGCAGTATAGCTAAAAAAAGAACAGTTAACTATCTTAATTATTCTTAGTACTAAGACCTGCCTGCTATATCTATTTAGGCTTTAATACAGTTAAGATATATCTAGATTAAGCGGTTATTAATCTGACCATCTTAACTATTATTTAAAAGTATATAAAAACAAGCTTTTAAAATTAGAAAAAATAATTAAAAGAAGTATTAGTATCTTTTTTATCTTTATTTTAAAAAATTAATCAGAGATTTCTGATAGTATTAACAAAATTCAGTTTTTTATAAAATTATGGTTCTTACAGTAAGAAATATATATAAAAATATATAATTACAGCTCGGTTTAAGCTGTATATCTTAATTATAATATATAATATCAGAAAAACTATATATTTACTAATAATCGGACTACTAAAAATAAATATATTATTTTTATTTTATTATTCTTCTTTTTATTTCAGCTTAGATAGTCTATTATAGGGTTTACATTAGGGTTTACATTAGGTTAGGTTTACATTAGTTT